TCGCTGACGCTGCTCCTGAGGTCGTCGAAGAAAACGTCCCCGCGCAAGAGGAAGTGGTGGATGAGAAAAAGGAGGAACCTGCAGCTGTGGAAAGCGTGGAGGTAAGCAACGAGTTTCTTCAACGTGCGGTTCGCACGTGGTCGCATTATCGATATGAATCCCATCTTCGTTTTACTCACACCTCCACTTTTGTTTTGTCATTTGCTCGTATTCAGGAACCATCTCCTGCTGTTGACGCACCTGAAGTAAACGAGGATGCTGTCACCGAGGGTGTTTCGGCGGAATCCGTCGCTGAGGCTGAGGCTGAAGCTGTACCTGCTGAAGCTGAAGCTGTACCTGCTGAAGCTGAAGCTGTACCTGCTGAAGCTGCACCTGCTGAAGCTGAAGCCACCGCGACTACCGAAGCTGCACCCCAAGTAAGTGATATCACCGAAGTACGTTATTCCCGTCTGTTCCCTGTGCTCAAAGGTTGACCACTCTAATAATTACGTCTTATTTGTAGGAGGCTGCTGCCCCCGTTGAAGCGCCTGTTGTGGTTGAGGAGCCCGTAGTCGAAGAGCCTGTTGCTTCTGTGGAGGAACCCGTTGTTTCTGCTGAAGAGCCTGTTGCTGCTCCTGTCGAGGAAGCTCCCGCTGCAGGGCCTGAGGTTGTCGAAGCGCAACCCGAGCCTCTCGTCGTCGAGTCTGTCGAAGATGTCCCTGCGACTGAGGATGCACCTGCACCCGAAGAACCTGAAGTCGTTCAGCCTGCTGCTGTTGAGGAGACCAGCATCCCTGTTTCAGAGGAAACCGAAGCTCCCGCAGTTGAGGAGATCGCTCAGCCTGAGGCAGAGCAGCCTTCCATCGCTGTGACCGCCGAGGCCGCTGACAAGGACGAGAGTGCGCCTGATGCTGCTCCTGTTGAGGAGCCAGAGCGTCCCAAGACGCCATACACTCCTGCGTTTAGTGTGACCAGACAAGGACCCGGATTCAATGACGAGGCTGACAAGGAGATCGATAACTTGGAGCAGCTCGAGGACGCTGAGGCTCCCGTTGCTCCTGAAGAGCCTGTCACTGCTGAGGCGGATGAGGTTGAGACTCCCGAGATCGTCGCTACTCCGGCTGAACCTGAGGAGAACACTGAGGTATGCTGGACCGATGTCGTATACAACGCTTTACGTGCTAATATTTTCATTTCTAGGCCACCGCAACTGAAGAGGTCGCAGCCACCGTCTATCCTCCATCCTTCTCTGTTGTTTCTCAAGGCTCAAGCCCCTTGCATACTCCTCAGCGTGATGAAGACCTCGCAGATGTTCCAGTCGAATCCATCGAGCCCGCTGCTCAACACCCTGTTTCTGAGGATGTTCCTGCGGTAGTCGCGGAAGAGTCTGAACCTGCTACGGAGGCAACTGTCGTTCCTCCTGTTGAGGAGTACATTCCTCCCGTCAAGGCTGAGGAGGAGGCTGCACCTGAGGAGACGACGCAAGTCACGGAAACCGTCGCTGAACCTGTGAGTTTGATGTTCTCGCGGCGATGCTTGTTGCTAATGTATGTAACAGGAGGTGGTCGTTGAGTCCCATGTTGATGAGGCTTCTGTTCCTTCCGTACAGGTCGATGTTGAGGATCAGGTATGTCGTATTTGACATGGTATGGAAACATAGTACTGATATCGATGTCTTCACAGCTTGAGGAAGAGGAGACTCAGCCCGTCGAAGAGCCTGCTCCTGAGAGACCATGGACTCCTTCCTACTCCGTGACCCGTCAAGGATCAAGCCCCGCGCATTCACCTCAGATTCCCGAGGATGAGCCTGAGCAGTCGATCCCCGAGAGACCTTTGACGCCCTCGTACTCTGTCTACAGGCAGGGTACCAGCCCTATCTCGTCTCCCAAGCCTCTTGAGGAGGAGACCAAGGACGAACCTGCTCCGGCTATCGCGATCCAGGTCACTGATGAGCCGGTTGCGGATGAGGCTCTCGCAGAGGCGGCGGACCCCGGCTCCGTTGAGCCCGAACAGGTAATGTGTCATACCGCCAACTGTCTTACAACGTATACTGAACTTAGTCGACATAGGTCGCTGAAGTTCCCGCCGTCGAGGAGCCAGTGCCGGAGCGAGCCAGGACACCTTCTTTCTCGGTCACTCGTCAAGGAAGCATCCCCGTTCACTCCCCGAAGATTCTTGCCGCTGAGGCTCCAGCTCCTGTAGAGGAGCCAACAGAGGTGGCCGAGACTGCTGACCATCCCCCTTCAAGGCCCTACACTCCGTCGTTTTCGGTTACTCGCCAAGGATCAAGTCCCCTGTTGGCATCCAAGAGTCTCGAGGATACTGTGCCCAAGGCTGAGGAGCAAGTCGAAGCGCCCACTGTCCAGGTTGTTGCACCCGAGCCTGTCAAGCCTGAGGTTCCCAGCGTTGAGGCTGCTGCAGAGGTAATAGCAAACTCTCATCCAAAGTATGAACTATCTACTTACTATCTAATCTAGCCCGCTGCAGATGAGACCAACGTGGCAGAAACCACCGAGGTTGATAGACCCAAGTCCCCATACACTCCTGCATACAGCGTGACGCAACAAGGTTCAAGCCCCTTGGGTACACCTGCAGTCAAGCCTATTGACCTTCCGAAGTCTCCTGCTGCTGCATCCACTCTCGTAGATGAGCCCATCGAAAGCCAGGAGGCAAAGGAGGAAGTTCCCGCTATCAACTTGGAGGCTGAACAGGAGAGGCCTGAACGGCCCTGGACGCCTTCTTACTCTGTTACGGTTCAAGGGTCTCCTCGTCAAACCCCGGCTGAACCTGCCACCAACGGTGACTCTGTGAATGGCGATTCCACTCATGCTTTCCCTTCCACTGAGGAAACCGGACCGAAGGTCTCAACGAAGTAAGTTCTCATTTATCATGCATCGTGTAAGCCATGTCTGATCTGTTCTCTGCAGACCCAGCTTGCCACGCCTTGCCCCTGTTAACGAGAACGAGCGTGTCGACTCAACCTCGCCCGTCGGACTCGAAGCAGAGTCGTTCTCCCCATCTGCCCGAAACAGACTGGAATCTACCACATCTTCGCGATTCTTCCCCGGCGGTTGGTTCTCTAACACTCCAAAGACCTCGGAGGAGAACCGCGCCTCGCTTGACCACGCGAACGGGGAATTCTCCAAGACCCCTGCGAGCACTACTGCTTCTGCCGTTGAGCCTCCTGCGAATACTCCTGTCGACGGTAACGTCGATGATCACCACAAGCACCATCACCATCATAAGGGCAAGTGGTGCGTGATCATGTAAAGGCAGGTTATCTTGGTGAAGTTCCCCAGAAGTGAATTTGGTTTGAAATTGTAATGATTTTTTATGACTTCTTGTTCTGTTGATAACGACTCTATCATCTTTCCTCCCCTAACAATTTCTCTACTCCGGTTTCGCGACAAGTCTGTCTAGTTGCTATACCCTATGCTCTCATCATCATCTGCGCCCTAATCCCCTGGTAATCACACTCCTATCACATCTTTCTTCCACCACTCTCGATAGTTTCACTCGTTCGTAATCGTTTCTGCTTTTTCATTTACTGGTGTCCATGAGTCGTACTGAGTCTGTGCAATATCATGTTGTTGCATATCGCGAGGAGAACATATTTCAAAACTGCATACTCATGTGGTGAGTTTTACATCGAATTGTACTTGACTGATGACAGTTTCAAGACACGTCGTTATCCAAGTCGTCAGATGGCTAGCGTACAATATAGCTTGGACTCTGACGTCACTCGGATTTGGCTCGGGTATTTTCCAACTCGCGAAGCAACGAAGAAGGGAGCTACCCATGCTGAGCGCAGAGTCATCCGGTCATTCAACCCGGTCATGCGTCTGCTCTCTTGATACAGGGAACACCCTCCAAACGCCTTCTGCTGTATTTCCGCTGACGTTCTTTGATCTGCATAGACCACCCAAAGCCAATACGAAGCTCGTATACCGTTTCACTATGACTTCTAGGACGAATTAGTACTCCACGTTCATGCGATAGCTCAAGTCTCGCAAAAGAATAAAGAGCACGTCGAAGATCTCTCAAGCCCAAGCTATCCAAGCATCTGTGTCTCCTTTCTTGTAGCTTTCCACCAGCCCCTCGCAACGAGTCCATATCCACGCTCACAGAACTCAATACACGATGAAGTTCATGCCAAGCCTACTCGTCGCGATTTCTGCTATTGCAGGCTCGTCCGCAGCTACCGTGTCCGTATCATTTGATGAGACATACGACAACGGTTCACAGTCCCTCGCGACTGTATCATGCTCGGACGGACAGAACGGGTTATTGACGAAAGGTAAGTGAATTGCCAAGTTGGACGTCGGCAAAAAGGTCGCAAAGCGATGCTTGCTTTTTACCATTCATCAACGCACAACGCGCACACTTTCCTTGCCTTTGGCGAACCCCCAATCTGGGAATTCCTCCCCCCCCTCCCCCCCGGTTACTACTCACCGTGTCCCACTTGCTCACATCAACACATGAACTAACGACATACCACCACGCAGGTTTCACAACCTTCTCATCCCTCCCCTCCTTCCCAAACATCGGCGGTGCACCCGCTGTAGGAGGGTGGAACTCTGAAGCTTGCGGCACATGCTGGGAATTAACGTTCAATGGAACGTCCATTAACGTCTTGGCAATCGACTCAGGTGCCTCCGGATTCAATATCGCCCTCGGCGCGATGAACAAGTTGACGAATGGTCAGGCTGTCGCGCTTGGTCGTGTCAATGCCAATGCGACCCAGGTGAATGCGACTGCGTGTGGTTTGCATTGAATGGAGTTTGTGCGGAAGTTGCGAGATAGGAAGCGGATGGACATGCGTCGATTACTTCAGTAGGGAAAGGACGGCCTGAGAGCTCTGCTTCATGCATCTATGTAGTTTATCGGATATACCTTTCACACTCCGCAGTATTCCTGCTCAAACACACTTCAGAATACAAGTTGAAAGACAAGAGGCGGTTCAAGCATCTCGTTAGCTCGTCCTAAGGCTTGTCGTTGGCCAAAAGAAAAAGCAAAGTGAATCCTTCGGGCCGGGATCGAACCAGCGACATTCAGATGTGATTACGTAAGCATCACGTAATGCTTTATCCAATTACAGTCTGACGCTCTTCCGACTGAGCTACCGAAGGTTGGAGATGCAACAAGCAAATAGATACTTATGCCAAGCGAGGATCCACTGCGCAATCCTGGTGAAGCGAGGTGGCACGATGTGGTGACGTTGGGGTGACCCCAGAAATAATGTGACGAGCCGTAATTGCCCCAGCGACGGCAATAGGACGGTGGATATAAAGGGGTCTGCCAACTACTCCCGTCCTGGCCAGAACCGGTCGCAGTACCAACCACCGTCTGCCCATTCCCAATCCAGTCTCTCCTGAACGCCATCATCATGTCCTCCATCCGCGCGCTCGCCAAACACGCCCGCTCGCTGTCTCGCACAGTGCAGACAAGACCCATCGCACACATCCGCGACTTCCACTCCCCGTTCGCATTGCTGTCATCGTCAGAATCACCCCTTACGAGCCCACCCCCTCCCCCACAGGCCGCGCTGTACGAGAAACAATCTGAGTACTCTCCCGAGCCTCGCGTCTCTTCCGCCGGCACACAGACATACGTCGTGTCCGACCCCGACCCTGCAAACACCCCCTACGAAGTGCCCTCGGGCGCATACCCCACGTCCGCTCCGTATCAGGAGTACACCCGCACCGAGGCACCCTCGAACGCCCCCCGGGCATCGACGGCCAATGCGTATGCGCACCCTATCACCACCAATGCCGTACCGCACAACGAATCAGGGGTCGGAGACAGCGCTGCTGTCAGGCATAGGGAGGCCCAGGGCGAGCTGCACGCCAAGGGCGGTAGCTACGGCGGGCTTGGACTGATGGATAAGGAGGGCACGACGAAGAAGAGCAGCGCCGAGTTGGCAGACAGGAATCCACCCCCTGACCGTCCCGACGTCGCGGAGAAGTTCTCCAAGTTGGGCGTCGACAACGCTTGGAAGGCTAGGAAGTGAGGTGGAGGAAGAGTATTCTTATTTGTTCACTTGCTGTTATTGAGGATTATGAGAGGGTATAATGGTTGTTTGTAGGAGCTGTTTAATGCGGGGAAGAGGGGTTGTCCGTCTATGATTCCATCTGTAACATATTTGCCTCCGTCACGACTTTCGTCTGTACTATAGTTTGTTGTCGCTTCGCTATCTTTCTCTTGCACTCTATGCCAATAATCGCATGCATTTCTTTCTTGCAATCATCTGCTGGCTGGCTGGATTTACGCGATTCGTCTTACATCGTCTGTGAAGCTTGCCGACACGGTCGCGTATGGGAATGATCTCATCTGTGACGCGATCGCGTCGCGTACCACGTGCCGCGCACTTCGCTCCCCTTTTGGTTACTGTGGTTCGCTCTATAGTCAGCAGGACTCTCAAGCTGTGGTCGCTCACCGAAGGCATTTGTCATACTCACGAAGGTCGCATCGGACAATATTAATGTAACTCTTGAAGGTTACTTGAGCTCGGGCTCAATGGGAGGTTTGCTCGAACTCCCAGCACTGTAACATCTCCAGACGTTCTGGGTGAGGACTAGGCATCGTGGAACTTCGCGATCACCAACTCTAAGTACACCTGACCCAGGTATTCTCGACCATTCCGGTTCACCAACTCAGACTGCAGCTGCAGCTTGCTAAGCACGATGGCACCCTCGTTCTTTCCCCTGCCTCACGTTGAGGACAGCAAGAAGAGAGTCCGAGTGCTCTTTGGGGGTAAATACATCGTCGACACAAAGCAATCCAAGCTGGTGTAAGTATCTCCTTTTCACTCCCGCAAACACCCTCGTTTGATGATAATACAATTCAATCCTCCCCCCAGATGGATCAAACCATTCTACCCCCTTTACTTCTTCAACTCGGACGAAATCCCCTCATCTTACCTTACTGAATCTCTTCGCTCCGATGAACATATCATATACGACCTTGCCGTTGGAAATAGAATCGCAGAGCGGTCTGTCAAAAAGTACCTTACAGGAGACTTGAAGGGTTTGATCAACATCGAGTTTTCCGCCGCCGACGCATGGTTCGAAGAGGATGACCAGATTTTCGTTCATCCCAAGGATCCGTACAAGGTAACGTCGCACGATCCGTTCCTCCATGAGGCGTATTGCACGCGCAGACAATCTGACGATAATATTTTGGTATTTCTACGGCATATTTCATATCTGAACAGCGCGTAGACGTACTCCAGTCCTCTCGCCACATCCGCGTCGAACTCAACGGCGTCGAATTGGCAAACACGACCAAGCCTCGACTCTTATTCGAGACCGGCCTACCCGTGCGTACTTACATCCCCAAAACGGATGTCCGCATGGATCTCCTCGTGCCTTCCCAAACAACGACTAAATGTCCTTACAAGGTGCGAAGTTTCCCCCTCTTTATCCCCACTAAGGAATCCGGGATCGACAATCCCGTTCCAAACTCTCATCGCACTTCCGGTCCGTGAGTAACGTACCTTGCTGAAATGATAACCGTGTGTGTGCGTACAGGGCACAGCGAGCTATTACAACGTCAAGCTCCCAGACGGGTCCGGAGCAGACGATATAGTCTGGTGGTACCCCGTCGCTTTACCGGAATGCGATCAAGTCAAGGGGTTTGCCGCTTTCTACGATGAGAAGGTGGATGTGTATGTTGATGGGGAGTTGCAAAAGAGGCCGGGGAAGCTCGCTTGAACATTGGAATTTGTTTTGGAATTGGACGTTCATTCAGATTGGCAATGGAATGGAATGGTGTACGAGTAACTTGACTTGGTTTGGCGTTCAAGATGAAAGGACCACGTTGTTACAGCCTCGTTGGGTCCTCACCTATGTCACGGAGCTGACAGGCATTCGCGTGCACGGTGCAACGACTCGACCTCCGAATGCTGAAGTGGTATCCTTGATATGTACCCCGTTCCGCCGTTCCGTCGTATAGTCACAACGGCCGGGGCCGAGAGCACAGTTGGTAAACGAGCTTCCGTTCCTGGCGTTCCGTTTGGCCTTATGGCGGCACCGAGAGATTCAGACTTGAGTTTTCGAATCCGCACCACAACCTTGCTGACATGATGACCGAGAACAACACTGGAAGTGAATAACTAACCTCATGGACACTCACTGCTATACTATTATAGATCGGAGACCTTCAGCCTCAAGGCCTTGACTCAAATTGGTCTGTACATACTGATTCAACATTCAATGCGGTTATGTCCGACATATTCCTTTGATGAGGGATCGTCACTAGTCGTCACTTTGCTTCCCGCCGGAGACGCTTGAGCTTTTTGATGGGTTGTTTTGGCGAGCTGTATACGGCGATTCTACCGGCGGTGGAACTTGATGACGGGACGTTGTAACATTTACGATGTACGAATGCCCTGCCATAGACCATGGTTCTGACTTGCCAGCCAAAGTTGGTATGGACTGAATTAGCAGGAACCGCAGCTCTTACGAGTTCAGATCGACAACGTGATAGATTAGATGCGACTCAGCTGACACGAAGTTGTGCAAGGTCTGCGGAGGAGATAAGCGAGCTGAAGAGACATTCCCAAAATGGCAAAGGCTTGTGATTTAAACATGTACAAACAATTACCTTTGCTTTCAATTCGCGACGCTTTCCAGCAGGACTCGATTCCACGTCTCCCACTATGAGGTATGCCACAGTTACCGTGACCTGCAATATACATCATTCTAATTCAACATCAGGACAGTAATCGGCACACTTCTCAGCTCCGCAGTGCGAAGTCAAGTAGCCTCTTCTTCCCGATGTCGTCCAGCCCTGCAACCTGTCTTACGACGTTATAAGAAGACCATGATGGACTTCACCTCACCTGAGGAGCTCAGTGAAGAAGAGCTAGCAGCTCAACGGGAACAGGCGAGGAAGGCCAAAGAGAAGAAGGCGAGACCGATCACCAACGCATTCGGTCGAGGACCAATAGACGAACAAATCCAGTACACTCGTGTCCGCATGGTTGATCCCGAGACCAAGAAGCTTGGTCCACTGGTCGAACTACAAAGACTACTAATAGAGCTGAACGGGGGAGCGAAGAAAAGCAAGAGGCCCTATCTTGTGGAGCTGGTCACGGAGAAACCTGAACCAATAGTCAGGATCGTCAAGAGATCTGATGCTTGGGCTGCGACAAAGGAGGCGAAGCAGAAGAGGAAGGAGAAGGCGAAAGCGGAGGACGTGAAGGAGATTCAGTTGACGTGGGGCACAGACTTGCATGACTTTGAGCATAAGCTCAAGAAAGTACGGGAAGAGCTGGAGTCGGGGCACAAGGTGTCTATGGTCTTTGCACCCAAAAAGGGACAACCGTGGTTGAACAAGGACGGGATGAAGGTCAAGGTGGACGAAGCCGTGGCACAGCTATCTGACGTCGCTGCAGAGTGGAAGCCGAGGGAGGAGTTGAGAGCAACGTTCATTGTGTTCCTCCAACCGAAGAAGTCATGACCGCAGCGCTTTACGGGTAATCTGCTCGCATTTTAATAGGATATAAACTATCTAGACGACCCATGTACTATACAACCTCCCCTAATACCCCACTATACTGCGCTTGGCTTGGCCGCTACAGCTTTGGTCCACCGTCGAACGTTCCGCTTTCCGCGCCGTAGAGGAAGTCCCTTCGTTTTCAACACGGGAAGACTGAACGCCCTGAACTGACGCTTAGCAGGATACGCATATGGCACCCTGACAAGCTCTCTAATCTCTTTCTCCTGTATAAGATCGACGACGTTCCAACGGCCCACAAGGAACTTTCGGATACCGAGGGGGATGGGATGGCCACGTTGAGTCATCATCGTAACGACTTCTTGCAGACCGGGCTGCCACCACTTGGAAGGCACACCCGAACGCTGGTACAGATTGATAGCGTATTGCACCCCGCGTCTCGTTCTTGATCGACTAGCCTTCTTGACTGTCTTGGATGACACCCGAAGTTGGAACCCAAACAAGTCAAGAGCAACGTTGAAGAAACGAGCATCGGGGACTGGGAGTGCATAGGGTGGGATCTCAAAGTTGGCGGCATATTTCTTGACGTGCGCGAGAGAGCCCTCGAGTGTTTGTCCCCCAGAAGCGAAAGACCTCAGCAACATCCACCCTTTCTTCATACCTACGTTCT